GTTTGGGAGAGGCCCGGATGGGCCCCATTTACCCCCACCCGGGGAAAAAAAAGGAAAACCCCTATCAAAAAAAAAAAAAAAAAAAAAAAATTTTTAAATATTTTAAAAAATATTCTTAAAAACATTTTTCCAACCATTAAAAAAATATGAAAAACACTATTAGTTTTCAGGCTGTATAAAAGCAGGAAAATGTGACCCGTGAGCTGTAGTTTGCCAATTCCTACTTTAAATAATCAATTATTTTTTACAGAAATTAAGAAACAAGAAAAAGTCATATATATACCGTTTCCTGTGCTTGATCTTTGCATAGATCCAAGTTTTTCATCTAGTATCATCTTCATCAAAATAACTTGCTTTGACATTTCTTGTGGTACACAGTTTTAAGTTTTCTGAGTTTTTTTTCCCCTGATAATGTCTTTACAGATAGGTATCACTTAACAACAGGAATACATCCTGAGAAATATGTCCTTAGGCAATTTGTTGTTGTGGGAAGCCTAGAAGGTATAGCCCACTACACACCTAGATCATATGGTGTAGCCCATTGCCCCCAGGCTACAAACCACTGCAGCATGCAGACTACTGAAAACTGTTGGCAGCTATAACATAATGGGAAGTATTCGTGTATCTAAACATACCTAAACGTAGAAAAGGCAGTAAAAATACGGTATCAAAAGATAAATATGGTGCCCCTTTGTAGGCCACTTGCCATGCATGGACTTTGCGGGACTAGAAGCTGCTTTGGTGAGTCAATGAGTGAGTCAGGAGTGAATGGGAAGGCCAGGACGTGAGTGTGCACTGCTGTAGGCTTTATAAACACTGCGCACTTAGGGCTATGCTACATTCATAAAAATTATTTCTTTCCTCAACATCAATTAACTTACTGTAACTTTTTTACTTTATAAACTTTAAATTTTTTTTAACTGTTTGACTCTTATAATAACAACTTGCTTAAATACAAACATACTATACAACTATACAAAAATATTTTCTTTCTTTATATCATTCTGTAAGCCTTTTTCTATTAGAAAAACTTTTTAACTCTACCTTCTGAATTCATACTTAAAAAAAATTTTTTTTGAACTTTTTTGTTGAAAATTCAGACACAGGCATACACATTAGTCTAGGATTACATAGGGTCAGGATCATCAAGGTGTCACTAGGAACATGTATGCAGTCTGTCACTGGTTGGATCATCGTTACTCAGGGCAGGACTGTATTTCATCTTTATTTGAAGGGTATAGTTTTGCTGCATATACAATTTTAGGTAGTTTTTTTGTTTGGCACTTTAAGGATGACACTATATTTTCTTCTGGCTTGTGTAGTGTCTCCTGAGACGACAAGGCTCATCTTTATCGTTGTTCCCCATGTGTAATGTGCTTTTTTCCTCTGGCTGTCTTTACAATTCCTCTCCTGTTTGCTGGATTTTGAGTAAGGTTCACTCTGCTCCCTTCATGGGATTTTGAACTTCTTGAATCCATGGGTTTATATTTCCTACCAAATTTGGAAGAAAAGAACATTTTTTGTAAGATTTTTTCTGTCTCAATCTCTTTGCCTATTCCTGTGGGCCATTTACTGACTCTTCCACCTACAGGGTCCACATATTTTGCTTATTTTCATGTCTAGTATCTTTCTTTAAAAAAAATATTTTATTGCATTTTAAGTTTTGGGATACATTTGAAGAAAATGCAGGATTGTTGCATATATACATACATGGCAATGTGGTTTGCTGCCTTCCTCCCCATCACCTATATCTGGCATTTCTCCCCATGTTATCCCTCCCCAACTCCCCACTCCCACTGTCCCTCCCCTAGTTCCCTCCCTACAGACCCCAGTGTGTGATAACCCCTTCCCTGTGTCCATGTGTTCTCATTGTTCAGCACCCGCCTATGAGTGAGAACGTGGTGTTTGATTTTCCGTTCTTGTGTCAGTTTGCTGAGAATGATGGTTTCCAGGTTCATCCATGTCCCTACAAAGGACACGAACTCATCATTTTTGATGGCTGCGTAGTATTCCATGGTGTAAATGTGCCACATTTTCCCTATCCAGTCTATCATCGATGGGCATTTGGGTTGGTTCCAGGTCTTTGCTATTGTAAACAGTGTTGCAATGAATATTTGTGTGCATGTGTTCTTATAATAGAACGATTTATAATCCTTTGGAATATACCCAGTAATGGGATTGCTGGGTCAAATGGAATTTCTATTTCTAGGTCCTTGAGGAATCGCCACACTGTCTTCCACAATGGTTGAACTAATTTACACTCCCACCAACAGTGTAAAAATGTTATTTCTCCACATCCTCTCCAGCATCTGTTGTCTCCAGATTTTTTAATGATTGCCATTCTAACTGGCGTGAGATGGTATCTCAATGTAGTTTTGATTTGCATTTCTCTTGAACTCCCTACCTCAGGTGATCCGCCCACCTTGGCCTCCAAAGTACTTGGATTCCAGGCGTGAGCCACTACGCCCGGCCTTGATTTGCATTTCTCTAATGACCAGTGATGAGGAGCATTTTTTCATATGTTTGTTGGCCTCATGTATGTCTTCTTTTGTAAAGTGTCGGTTCATATCCTTCGCGCATTTTTGAATGGGCTTGTTTTTTTCTTGTAAATCTGTTTTAGTTCTTTGTAAATTCTGGATATCAGCCCTTTGTCAGATGGGTAGATTGCAAAAATTTTTTTCACCTTCTGTTGGTTGCCAATTCACTCTAATGACTGTTTCTTTTGCTGTACAGAAGCTGTGGAGTTTGATTAGGTTCCGTTTGTCTATTTTGGCTTTTGTTGCCAATGCTTTTTGTGTTTTGGTCATGAATTCCTTGCCTATGCGTATGTGCTGAATGGTTTTGCCTAGGTTTTCTTCTAGGGTTTTTATGGTGTTAGGTCTTATGTGTAAGTCTTTAATCCATCGGGAGTTAATTTTAGTGTAAGGTGTCAGGAAGGAGTCCTGTTTCTGTTTTCTGCACATGGATAGCCAGTTTTCCTAACACCATTTATTAAACAGGGAATCCTTTCCCCATTGCTACTTTTTGTCATATTTGTCAAAGATCGGATGGTTGTAGATGTGTGGTGTTGCGTCAGAGGCCTCTGTTCTGTTCCATTGGCCTATATCTCTGTTTTTATACCAGTACCATGCTGTTTTGATTACTGTAGCCTTATAGTATAGTTTGAAGTCCGGAGTGTGATGCCTCCAGCTTTGTTCTTTT